TGAGCAGAGCAGGCAGGGAGCTAGCAGCTCTGCATTGCCAAGGTGGGTAGTCTGGGTGCAGTCCAGGCTGCCTGGCTTCTTAGAAAACCTCAGTTTTTTTTTTTTTTTTTTTTTTTTTTGCAAAGTAGCCTCCCATTCTAAGACTCAACAAAGAGAATAAATGGAATACTCTAATATTGTTTTACTTAGATTGAGAAATTTGACTTCACAAATAATTTTGTTAAAAAAAAATAAAGCTGAAATCTTGCCAAGTTATCTAAAGCAAGTGAAATGTAAAACCTCTAGGAAAGTATTTGTGGCGCCATTTGGGTATTGGTGCAAATCTCCTGGTCCTTACTTCTTCCTGAAGATGTTTCTAAAGAGCCTTTCAGGTTCAGAACAATATGAAGAGAAGAGACAGGTAGAGTCAAATCCACATGGTGCAAACTAATTGTGTTGTTTATTTGTTAGCACTCAGTTAAGAATTACAGGAGAGACAAGCCTGAAAGAAAATAGCACTCGAGATGAGACCCAGGATGAGAAGATGGCTCCATTGAGTGTATGTATGTTTCTCCTATGGTGGGAGGGTACACTTAGTGTAGACACATGTAGTAGTTGATGCCCTTCCGAATGAAAGAATAAAATGGTCTTTGTTCAGTAGAAACTACATAGCWTTCTAGTATTTTTATCAAGAGTGGTGTGGTTTTTAGATAAGAAGACCTTAAATTTCTGACTCAGGTAGATTCATAACTGTTCACTTTCATTTTTTTTTCTTTAACAAGTATTGGCGAAATGTATTTATGGCTCATTTTCTGTGTGACAGATTCAAAATGTTGTTTAATGATTTCTTTATGTTTGGGTAGCACTTTGACATTTTAAAGCCATTTTCATGGTTTCCATTTGACTTTCTATTAACCATTAGAAATATGATTTATTACCAAGAGTTCAATATGWTACAGAGCAGTCTAACATTCATTCATAAACTATATAAACTCTTGGTGTACTTAATGTGGATTCTGTATAATATTTTATAGTTGTATAGCAGTAGTTTGGGGGAAACTCGACTCTTAAAAATGAATTGTGAGTTATCTGACATTAGCATTAAACKTGATTATCAAATCCCATATTTTTAGCTTACATATTTCTCTGTAGCATGACTTGGGGATGTCAGCTTCTACCTAAGGCTTTTTTCTTTTTTAAACTCTTTTACCTCATATTTTAACAGCATACAACAAAGTGTTCCTTGTAGATGATTTATACTATGAAAAAATATTTTAAAGTTTCTTTAAAATTTTATATTTTTATGCTTTTATTCTGTGTGTTTTTAAACATTTTACAAATTTTTATGCTTTTGTATATATTCCCTTAACATTAAATAGTCTTCAAAATGATTTTTAATGTCTTAGTGTTTTGTCTTATGGATAGATACATATACTGTAATTTGTTGGAGATTGAGATTATTTCTAAGGTTTTGCTATTTTAGATATTAGTGGACATCCTGGTACAGAAGGTTTTTTTTTACATATCTCAAATTCTTACACTAAAATAAATACTTTGCAATAGGTCAAACAGTGGATTGTATTTACAGTTTTTTTTTAATCATGTTGGCAAATTGGCGCTGTATTACTCAAACTGAATATGTATGTGTGTGTGTGTGTGTGTGTGTGTGTGTATGTGTGTATGTGTATGTGTGTGTGTAGTTGTTTTCCATATCTTTGAATGCTAGTGAGTTGGTACTCTTTTTTCTCAAGTTACTCACCATTTGTTTTTCTTTTTTTGGTATGTGTAATATCTATTTATAACATATTGATGATAGTTTTATACCTATATGACAAATATTACCATGTTTGTTTATGTATTTAATTTTAGATATAGAATTTTAGACTTATCTATTAATTTTTTTTCTTTTAATATATTTGTTTGCCTTTATATTTAGAGAAAAAAGCCTTTCCTCCTTAGGGGATCAGAAAAATATTCACCTTTGACTTCTATTTACTGGTTTATCTCACAGTAGTAATTGGATTCCTATATTGTTGATTACCTATATATATGTCCATAGTATTATAGTTTAATATTTATTTTTAGATACAATATTAAATAAAAGATTACATTTGTGATCAGTAAGCTGAATCTGTTATACATATGTAACTGATATACAAAATTGACATTAGTTTTTCATGTTTAAAATAACCAAATCAATATGATGTGAAAATATTGAGTCACATAATTAATGCTCTTTTATTCTTATTCCACATAGGACTCAGTGACTGAGGACCTCCAGGTTGATAGTAGTTCATCTAATAGTGAACTAATATCAGGTAAGATTATTAGTGCTTTSTGTCTTTCCTCCTAATCAACATTCATTTGTATCTCTCTTCAGCTTTCTATTTCAGGGGAACATAACTTTCCCCTTGCCCAGTGTAAATCCTTCTGATTGTACTCTATACCTCATCCCCAAAGCCTACAAGCACATACCAGTGAATATGAAATTGTTATTGTGATTAGTGTTACAAAAGGGAGATTGACTTGAGTGTAATTAATTGAATTTAGTTAAATTGGGGAATGTTTCCTTGAGGGAATGGCAATTGAATTGAGATCTAAAGGAAGGAGGGTAGAAATTTACTATGCAAAGTGATGAGTAAAGAAAAATCAAGGCAAAGGGAACAGCATTTGCAAAGACCTTACCATGGGACTGACCATTATGTGTTCAGTGAACTGAAAGATGGTCAGTAGATGGAAATGTGATTACAAGACTGTAGGACAACTACAGACTTTGTATAGCTTTGTAGTCCATGTCAAAGATATTGATGTTTATCTTTGCAGCAGCAGGAAGCCATTAAAGTTTTAAAATAGGAATGATATGATCACTTTAACTAAGTTATGAATGCCTTTAAGATGWCTAGCAATGTCAAACGGGCAGATGGACATGCAGGGCTGGTGGTAGAAATCTGATTCATCTACATACTGATATAATTCAAGTTWTTTTTGAAAAGAAAAAAAGGATGTTTTTGGCACACCAGAAATACAGAGGAATTCTTAAAAGCAAATGAGATCAAATTGGTGAATATATCAAAAGTGGAAACAAACCACTGCAGAGGTAAAAATAGCTCTAGAGATATTCCAGCTTGACCAATACATGTAAAAAAAAATCCTCCAAAACTGTAATGAAGGGATCCTGAAGGAATTATCAAGGTGATAGATTAAGAACTACATTTGAGCCTGGCGCGGTGGCACATGCCTGTAATCCCAGCAGCTCAGGAGGCTGAGACAGGAGAATCGAGAGTTCAAGGCCAACCTCAGCAAAAGTGAGGCACTAAGCAGAGAGACTTTGTCTCTATATAAAATTACAAAATAGGGCTGTGGATGTGACTCTGTGGTCAAGTGCCCCCATGTTCATTCCCTKGTACCCCTCCCCCCAAAAAAACTACATTTGAAATACCTGATATCCTTCCCCTTATCTCCTAATTATATTGGAAACACTGGCAATTACTAGTCCCTGCTGCCAGGATAAAACCCTGAGAACTACTTCCAAGCAGAGTACAATCTAGTAACTTTGTAYGTCTTGAAAAATCAATTCAGAATTGCATATTTAATGAGGGAGATTGAACATACACATCTATTTTTCCCTTCTGAAACAGTACTAAAATACCAATAAAGGCATAAAAGAGGTGTGAAGCCACTAGGTGAAAAAAAGAATACACTGCAGCAGGTAAGAGATAACAAAAATGCTTGGTACCTCGAAGATAGATGAATGAATTATAGTTGAATTAATGACCTAAAACAAAAGGCTTAATGCTTAGTTCCTAGAGTAAGTATAAACCAAGAAGTAAACTGACTCAGGCTCTAGTTTCAGGAATTGGAGGCATCACATATTCCTGAATGAATGGGTATAGTTAGTGTTGGGACATATGGAAAACTTTTAAGGTAGCAGATTCTTTGACCCATGCTTGTGAAGGTAACTATCCTTCTGCCCACCCTGACAGTTCAGATAGATTGAAGCAGAGAGACTTGGCTAAGAGATATTAGTGCTGCTCAAGTGAMAGGTGCTATACTGAAAATTAGGGAAGGGAATTAAGTGAAAGTCTCTATACTCAGTGGTAAAACCCTTGAACTCCTTATCCTACTCAGGCAAATACACCCCAAGAAGGAGATTAGAGGGTTCCTCCTTCTCTGCAGAGGAGATGACGTATATTCTGGCAGTAATAGCCTGGTCCATGTCTAAATACCTTTCAGTAAAACCTACTTCTTCTTAAACCCCATTTATAATGCTTTTTTAATGCTTCATCCTTGATCATTGAAGAATTATCAGGCATTTGAAGAAAATCTTTAAAAGATACAAATAAAAATAAATTTGAATGACACAGATAATGAAAAGGAAAGAGACCATTTTTTAAAAAAAGTTTCATTAATATACTTAGGGTCATGAAAAATATTTCCAAAAAACAAGTGCAGGAGACCATAAAAAAYGAGAATTCATAGGACAAAAATAATTTTAAAAATATAAAATCAGAAATAAAACATCCTATAGAAATATAAAATAAATGTAAGGAAACATTTGGGAGAACAGAAGAAATCAAAAAGATGATAAAAATAGTGATAATGATGGCATAATTCTGTGAGGAGAGCAAAACCACTGAATAATACCCTTGAAAACAATGAACCTTATGGTATCTGAATGAGCACTGTAATTAAAAATAATTAGAGGGTGAGACCAAGAATTATAATATCTGAAAAATCATGATTTCTAATATTATAGAGTAAACTCAAAAGAAATTATTAAACACATAAGACTAGAAATATTTTGAGAATTAAATATGGTCATAAGGACACATGTTGAAAGCACCTTTCAGATTCTAAACAGTATGAACAGAGATGTCAAGAACAAATTTCAGATAGTATAAAGTATGCCATCACAATAAATGAAATAAAGACCCACACCAAGATACAACATTAAATAGTTTTATAACCCTGAGAATAAAGAAAAAAAGTGTTTTAGTCATCCAGAGGAAACATAAAAGCAGTTGGAAATAAGTGATCAATAGTTTGATGACATTGGACTTCTGAAGAGCAACTCCAAGAAGAAACTAGAACATGGTGGGGAAAGTGCATTTACAATTCTGAAGAGATCTGATTTTGCAAGGGTAGAATGAAGACTCACCCAAAATTTTATTTCGATTTCAAGACCCATGATGCCATCTACACAAGACAGTTGGTTTTTATTCATGTAATGAGTCTTTCTGGAGAGAAATGAGGCTCCCAAACAAGACTGAAAATGGGTTGAGTAGGCAGGGAAAGGAGACTGGTCTGGGATTTTTATAGTGGTAAAAGAGTGACCAAAATGAGATTTCCCATGTGTAGTTTGAACTTTTTCAAATGATGAATACCAGACTTTCTTGACACCTTGTCCAGATGTGAGGCAGAAGGGGAAGAGGGAACGATATGATTTAAAAGTTGTCATATATCAAAAATGTACTAATTGAATGTACTAATCTTGTATATTCAAATGTACTCTTGAATATACTAATCTCGATTTCTATACCCAGCCACACTGTCGCTCAAATGTGAAGATAGCTTGAAGAAAATTTTAGATGGGTCTTCTAGGTACCTCGTCTCAGGAAATGAAGGAAATGTTCTAATAAAATCAGTAAATCAATACAGAAATCACAGGATCCAGAAATTAAAGCCTTTAATACAGGAAACATGTAAATGAGTTTCTTAGGATAACGATAAAGGAAAATCTGAAGTAGATACCTGTCTAGAGGAAAACCAGTACAAATTTCAGCTAGCTTTTTCTCAGAAAAAGAAACAATCAGTGAGGTGAATAGAGAGCTTATTAATTGGGAACAAATTTTTGCCACCTGCACATCAGATACAGCACTAATCTCCAGTATATATAAAGAACTCAAAAATCTTAACACCAAACAAACAAACCTAATCAATAAGTGGGCTAAGGAGCTGAACAGACACTTCTCAGAAGAAGATATGCAATTGATCAATAAATATATGAAAAAATGTTCAACATCTCTAGCAATTAAAGAAATACAAATCAAAACTACTTCCAGATTTCATCTCACGCCAGTCASAATGGCAGTTACCAAGAATACAAACAATAACTGTCGGTGAGGATATAGGGGAAAAGGCACACTCATATATTGTTGGTGGGACTGCAAATTGGTGCAACCAATCTGTAAGCAGTATGGACATTCCTTAGAAAACTTGGAATGGAACCACTATTTGACCCACTCCTCGGTCTATACCCAAAGGACTTAAAATCAGCATACTATAGTAATGCAGCCACATCAATGTTGATAGCAGCTCAATTCACGATAGCTAAATTGTGGAACCAACCCAGAGGCCCTTCAATAGATAAATGGATAAAGAAACTAGTATATATACACAATGGATTATTATTCAGCATTAACAGAGAATAAAATYATGGCATTTGCAGGTAAATGGATGGAGTTGGAGAATATAATTCTAAGCAAAGTAAGCCAATCCCAAAAAACCAAAGTCCGAATATTCTCTCTGATATGTGGATGCTGATCCATAATGGGGGCATGGGAAAAATGGAGGAACTTTGATTAGGCAAAGGGGAGGGTAGGGAGAGGTTAGGGTCTGGGGGCAGGAAAGACGGTGGAATGAAATGGACATCATTACCCCAGGTTCATGTATGATGCCCATATGKTGTGATGCTACATCGTGTACTGCTGCAGTCTGGCTGGGCACAGAATCACGAGCCACTCAAGCAGGAACAAACTTTATTTTTGAAACTGCCGCCAATGCCCCGTATGCTCCCAGGACAATTGCTGACGGACCCACGCGGCATTCTCCCAGACCCCAACAGGAAGTCCCTCCTCCGGAATTCCCTCCTACCTCATTTCCCCAACCAATGAGAACTCTCCAGGAGTCCCATAGCAGGCCAAGGTGGACAGCAGGAGTCCAATATCCATATGAATGCAGATCTTAACATGATCATATCATCTCAATGCCATGCATCACATTACTTGGCTGTGGCTCTTAGCAGTGTACTACAAGAGAAATCAAAAGTTGAGCTACAATTGTGTACAATGAATCAAAATGCATTTTGCTGTCATATATACCTAATTAAAATTAATTAAAAAAGTAGAAGGAAGGAAGGAGAGAGAAATGAGAGGAAGGGAAAAAATAACAACCTGGTGTTTTTAAAAATATTGGAAGGAAATTTATGCTTCTGAAGAAAGTTGGGATGAAATAGTGGTAAGTACTTAGAAAACTAATTTTAAATTAGGTAAAATTACTCAAAGGACAAAACTGTGTGGCAATAGGTTGTGAATATAGTTCATAGATGGCTCCACTGTGAATATATTTTGACAGTCAATAATAGAAACATTAAATACAGTTAATTTAGAAATATAAAGAATGTGACTATCAAAGAAACAAGAGTAGATAGTAGAGGTTACTAGAAAGTAGGGGATTATGGTTGAGAGCTATGAGATAAGATTGCAGCTTTTTTTTATAARGTTTTTAGAATTACTTGGCTTTTAAAAAATGTAGTATAATTTGATAAACCTATAATTTTAAATGCATTTAAATATCTAACTTGTTCAACTCAAAGTGGATTAAGCACCTAGGAATTAAACCAGAGACACTGCATCTATTAGAAGAAAAAGTCAGCCCAAATCTTCATCATGTGGGATTAGGCCCCAACTTCCTCAAATAAGACTTCTATAGGACAAGAATTAATATCAAGAATCAATAAATGGGATGGATTAAAACTAAAAAGCTTCTTCTCAGCAAAAGAAACAATCAGTGAGGTGAATAGAAAGCCTTTTAATTGGAAACAAATTCATACCACACACATGTCAGAGCACTAATCTCTAGAATATATAAAAATCTTAACACCAGAAAAACAAATAACCCAATCAATAAATGTGCCAAGGAACTGAACAGACTTTTCTCAGAAGATGATATATAATCAATCAACAAATATATGAAAAAATGTTCAACATGTGTAGCAATTASAGAAATGCAAATCAAAACTAAGATTTCATCTCACTCCCGTCAGAATGGCAGCCATTATGCAAACAAACAACAATAAGTGTTGGTGAGGATGTGGGGAAAAAGGCACACTCATTCATTGCTGGTGGGACTGCAAATTGGTGCAGCCAATATGGAAAGCAGTATGGAGATTTCTTGGAAAATTGGGAATGGAACCACTATTTGACCCAACTATGCACTCCTTGGTCTATAGCCAAAGGACTTAAAAATAGCATATTACAGGGACACAGCCACATCAATGTTTATAGTAGCACAATTCACAATAGCTAAACTGTGGAACCAACCTAAATGCCCTTCAGTAGATGAATGGATAAAGAAAATGTGGTATATATACACAATGGAATATTACTCAGCAATAAAAGAGAATAAAATCATGGCATTTGCAGGTAAGTGGATGGAATTGGGAATATAATGCTAAGTGAAGTAAGYCAATCCCCCCAAAACCAAAGGCTGCATGTTTTCTTTGATATGAGGATGCTGACTCATAAATGCAGTGGTGAGGGTGCATGGGAGGAATGGAGGAACTTTAGATAGGGCAAAGGGAAGGGAACGGCCAAGTCAGAATGATGGTGGCATGGGTTAGATGTCATTACCCTAAGTACATGTATGAAGACACGAATGGTGTGAAAATACTTTCTGTACAATCTATGACTTGAAAAATTGTGTCCTATATGTGTCTATATGAAATGAATTGCATTCTGCCATCATGTATAACAAATTAGAATAAATAAGTAATTTAATAAAAAAATTTCTAACTTGTGACACAAGGAACAACCTCCCACTGATACAACATGAACATTTATTTATTCTTTTCTTTACCCAACTACCCAGATGGTGAGTACAGGGCTTTCCTTATATCTGAACCTCACTTGAGTTTTAGGGTTTGGTGGAAGGAATAGCTCTGCTGAGAAGTATTCATGAAATTTTGAGCAGTAGAAGGCAAGACAGATATAACATATGAGTGGATGAAGACAGAGCAAGAAGAGTGTGAAAGGTAGCAAGGACAGGGGCAGGTCACTCTAGGACATTTGGAGTAGTGAGGGATAACSTACCTACAACAGTTGAAGCTATAAAGAAGTATGGTAGATTGGGTCAATCAATTTAAGTGTTGCAGTGGGTGTGGTTGGAAAAGATAAAAAACATTTTCCATCTTGAACAAAAAGGTTGGAATAGGAGAAAAAAGTGAGGGATGAAGGGCAAAGAGTTAGTTGTCTCAGAAAGGTAACAGAAAGACATAAGACATGTGATGGACGTAAGTGAGTTCTGTGACAGGAAACAACAGGTATTCAGAGCAGTGTTCCCTTTTGATCCTTAACCTCTTCACCTCACCAGTTTCTATCAGTGTTGACATCTATCTTGTCATGTTGGAAGTGTTTAATGAATGCTGACTAAATTTAACAGTATATTTTCCCTATTCCTGTTAAACCCTCTGGTTTTCCTAAGCTCTACATATTGTTTTCTATCTTCATTGGAAAGTTCTTCAGTCTAGTTCACTATCATAGAATTTATTTGAGGCCTTTTGGTCTGGGAGAGTCTTTGTTCAGATACTTCACCCATTTTTATTGGGATGTTTGTTTCTGATTATTGAGTTTTCAAAGTTCTGTATATGCTGAGATTTCATTTTATTTGCAAATGTCTCCCTATCTGTAGCTTTTCCTTTCTTTTTAAGTTTCCTTTGAAGTTTTTAAATTTGATTAAGTCCAATTTATCATTGCTATTGTCTTATGAATCATCCATCCTCTAGTGATTTATCAAAGAAATCTTTATGTAATCCAGTCTCATATTTTTTTCCATATTTTTCTAGATATTTTATAGTTTTAGGATTTACTTTTAGGTCTGAGATCCATTTAGAGTTAATTTTTATATGATGACGGATACTGTGAATGTGAAGTTTTTTGTTTAATTTTATTTAAGCATATAGATATCCAGTTTTCTGGTGCAATTTGTTTAAAAGAGTAACATTTTGCCACTAAATTCCTTTTAAAAATTGATTAAAAATAAGTTTCCAAAATGAATTTTTACTAATAGTTGGGATTTTACTACTGTCCTCATGTAGCAGGTTCTTACTTTTTATAATGTGTACTTCATTTTGTATGGAATAAATGGTATTTTCTATAAATCAAAAATAACCAGTTGCTTATATATATGTGAGTCTATTCCTGGACTATCTATTCAGTTTATTTGATCTGTTTGTCTATATGTAGACTCACTGTTTTTTAGATGAAATAACTAGATTTACCCTTTTCCCTCCTTAGCTAGTTAGCTTACAATTGATGAATTACTTGTATGTAAACTTGAATTTTTAATCAAGAATCAAAATTGGAAAAGGAGTAAGTCATCAAACTAAAATTTGAAAAACAACAGATTATAATGATTTTGTTAATATCAAAAATAATTATTTTACCAGGTGCAGTGGCACACACCTGTATTCCCAGCAGCTCAGTAGGCTGAAACAGGAGGATTGCAAGTTGAAAGCTAGTCAGGAATTTAGCAAGGATCTGTCTCAAAATAAAGATAAAAAGGACTGGGCTGGAGCTGTGGCTCAGAGGTAGAGCAGTTGCCTTGAATGTGTGAGGCACTGGGTTCTATTCTCAGCACCATATACAAATGAATGAATAAAATAAAGCTCTGTCAACAATTAAAAAATTTAAAAAATAAAAATTAAAAATAAAAAAACAAAAATGTCTGGGAATGTTGCTCAGTGGTTAAGTGCTTCTGAATTCAATTATATATATAATCAAATTAAATTGGATTTTAATATTTGGCTTTTAATTTGTTTGTAGAAGCAGTCTTATATTCATAGTATACACTGCATGTACTTTTTATGAATTTGAATTCTTAGGATTTCAAGTCTGTTTTCTATTAAAACAGTTTACCCTTTTGTTTGTATTTGATTCTGTAGGACTAAGTTTGCCATGTGATGTTTCCAGTTCTCTCCTGAGCTGTTCAACCACAGAGTCTTATACAGAACACAAGAGTATTGAAGAGGAATTAGATAGTTTCTCATCACCTGAACTGTTCAGAGGATCAGATTATTTTGGTGAGAATATAATTTCAACCTTAATTTGCTGCACTGTAGAAATTATTCCTTTATCTACAAATCTTCCAGTGAATGAATGTTCCTTTTGAGAAGGCATACTTCTCYTCGATACCAACTCATCTATACCCTGACTACTACCATTATGTTTCATGCTTAGTCACATAGGAATGAGGGCAAGAGCCCTCAGGTCAGGGAAGAATGGAGAAATGTCATTTAGCACTTACATACACATTTTATTATTAATCAATTTTGTATGTAATGAATGTATACTTGTTCTCCTGAACTTTATAGATTATCTATTATCTCATGTACTTTTCAACAACATGGATTAACTGAGTGGTAACTGTAGACAGGTACAGGTGGGACTGGAAACAGTAAGTAGGTCGCTGGGGATATGCTTCTGGGGTTTACTTTGTCCCCAGTGAACAGTGCTCTCTCTACTTCCTTACTGTCATGAACTGTGCATCTTGCTTCCACCATGCCTTTCTGCCATGATGTTTTGCCTTACCTGGGGCCCAAAGAATGAAGTTGACCAACCATTGACTGAAACTCTGAAACCCCAAGCCAAAATATACTTTTCCTCCTCTAAGTAGTTCTAAGTAGACAACAAATGTCTTTTGGTCACAGAAATATAAAACTTATTAAAACAAGAAATTATCTGACAACTAATTCAAAATATTAATCATAAAGATGCCWAATGAAGCTCCAGAGAACTGTTTATTCAGGCCAGGCTATATTAATATGAGACATAGAAATGAGAGATATGGAAGGACAATGTGTAATGATAAAAGGGTCAACTCACTAAGGAGATATAGCATATRCAATGTATATGTACACCTAACATCAGAGCACCTAAATATATGAAATTAAAATTGACATGAACAAAGTGAAAATTTGAACAAAGAAAAAAAAATTGGTGTGGGGGCGTGGGTTACYGGGGATTAAACTCAGGGACACTCGACCACTGAGCCACATCCCTAGCCCTATTTTGTATTTTTATTTAGAGACAGGGTCTCACTGAGTTGCTTAGTGCCTCGCTTTTGCTGAGGATGGCTTTGAACTCATGATCCTCCTGTCTCAGCCTTCCAAGCTGTTGGGATTATAGGCATGTGCCTCTGTGCTTGGCTAAGAGAAAAATTTTTAAAAGAGCCAAATAAATCTTGGAGCAAAATAACATAATAACTGAACTTAAAAATTCAATACAGTGGTTCAAGAATAAAGAATCTGTGGGGCTGGGAATGTGGCTCAAGCAGTAGCGGGCTCGCCTGGCATAACATACATAAAATATGAGAATCAGATGGTTGCATGTATGCTTTCTGTTTCTCAGRTCAGTAATCTTTGTGGAGCAAAAATCTAGGAAGGAAGACAAAGACAGAGAACTGCAACAAACCATAGATTATTTCTTACCTTGATGGTGTCAAGGCTTGTCTTTTGTTCTGTTTCTTCCAAAACCTTTAATTACCCGACTTTGTTGTGGAGTGGGGCTCTAACTTGAGGAGGGGAAATAACCTGCCACTTTGTCATCTGTCATTGAAAGTTTTTAATCATTTCACCCCTGCTTTATTAGATTGGGAGTATCCCAAGATGAAAGAACAAAAGCAATGCAAGAACTCTACTCTTCTGGATAACAGTAAAGCAGTAACAATAGAGAAGGTGCCACAGTTTTCAGACTTCTCTGCAATTCTGAGTGAGTTTTAAAATTCATTTATCTCATGTTACAGGGTGAAAATCCCTCRTCTATACTGGAAAAACAGCATATTTTTCTCCTGAATATTTCTAAGATGAACTTACCAATTTGGATTAACTTTAGCTACAAATAATAATAGTAGTATAAGTATTCATGAGTTTACTTTTTATAACTTTATATTTTGAACTAATTTCAGACTTACAGAATAATTTGTAGAAAAATGGTACAGGGATTCCCCTATGTCTCTCACCTAGTATTATCTATCTTTCTTCCTTTCTTTTTTTTACTTTACCACTGGCTTACATCCCCAGCCTTTTTTTTTTTTTTTTTTTTTTGAGATAAGGTCTCACTAAGTTGCTTAGGGCCTTGCTAAATTGCTGAGACTGGCCTTGAACTTGCAATCCTCCTGCCTCAGACTCTTGAGCCACTGGTATGACAGTCATGTGCCACTGTGCCCAGCCTCTTATGTTATCTTATTATAATGGTAGTACAATGATTAGAACCAGGATTTTAACACTGATATAACTATTGACTAAATTACAGACCTTATTCAAATTTCACTGGTTTTTCCACTGACATCTCTTACTCTGTTTCAGGATCCTTATTAGGATCCCCTTTGCATTTATTAAGTCTTCTTAGTTTCCTGCATTTTGTAACAGTTCTCAATCTTCCATAATCCGAATAGTTTGTTTTTGTTTTTTCATAATCTGAATAGTTTTGAAGATAACTGACTAGGTTAGTTATTTTGTAGAAGTTCCCTCACTTTGGATTTTTCTTTATGTTCTCTCATGATTGTAATTAAGTTATGCAATTTTTGGTAAGAATTCCACAGAGATGCTTCTGGGAATCCTCAGTACAAAAAAAAAAGTTATTAGAAATTTATCACTTCTCCTTTCCACCCTTATCCCATTCTCTTCTTTTTACCCACTTACACTTGCTCCTTATAAGTAATCAATCTGTTTGGTTTCTGGTGTATCCTTCCTGTATTTCTTTTGTACAAACGAGTAAATACTGGTATATTTCTTTACATGTTGCTGTTGTTTACATGAAGGATTTACACTATATAGGTACTCTTGTTTACTTTATAAAGTAACAGTCTATACTAGAAATCATTCCCTAAATGTTATAGAACAGTTTATAGAACTCTTTCTCACAATAGTACTCTGTGTGCCTATTCCTTTTTTTTTTTTTTTTTTTTTGTTAACCACCCTCTTGTGAATTGGGTATTTAATTTTTTCCCAATATTTTTCCACCACAAAAAAATGCTGTGATTAATAAACTATGATATGGATTTTCTTATTGTTAGCCCAGAGGCAGATGGCAAGTTTGAAAGATAAGTGGATATATAGATTTGTTGGATATTGCCATACTTTTCTCCAGAAGGGTCATATCAGTTTGCTTTCCCACTAGCAATGTATGAAAGGGCGTGTCTCTCATATACTTGCCAACAGGATGTATTGTCATACTTTAAAATTATGCTACCTAAATGTGTGATAAGTGATATCTCTATTACTTAAATTTGCATTTTTCTGATTTTATGTGAGTTTAAAATTTTTCGTATGTTTGAGGACCATTTTGAGTTTTAAAATTTTCATGTATAAGTTTTCTCTTCATTCATTTTCCCCATTTTTAACCTTTTTAAAAATCCTTTATCATCAATATTTTTTATTCATTACTGGATCTAGGGCCCCAAGTATCCTAGGCAAGGGCTCTATCACTGAGTGACATACACTCAACCCTTAGCCACAGTTTTAACAGTTCTTTATATATTAAGGATATTAACCTTTTATCTGTGGTATAAATGCAGGTAATAAATTGGTATATTTCAATAAATTTGTGAGTCTTTTCTCCTAGTTTTTCTTTTTGTTTATGGTACTTTTTGCTATGCAAAAAATGTTTATATTGAGTTTACTTTTCTTGTATAMCAGTCCAGAGCTTGTTTAGCCCCTCACTAATGGGATCAAGATACTAGGCTCTTAATATCTTTCAGCTACCAAATATGTCAGCTTGTTACTCCATAGTTATAAAGATAGCTACTAAATCTCTAGGCTTTACAGCCATACTGCTGGCAAAAGGAATGTGAAAGGGCAGTAGTAGCCATGCCTATCTCCAGACAAGCAAAACCAATCCCAGAAATTCTCCCACAGACTTATTGCCCAGAACTGGATCAGGTATCTACCTACTACTATGGAGGCTGAAACTAAGTATTTTGTTTTCTAACTTCTGTAGTGGTAGAAGYCATTGGGAAAATGGAAAAAAAATGGAGAGGGGGAGTAGGAATGGATGTCGTGAGCCCACTTGTTAGAGATGCACTAGGTAGAAGAATATCAGTGTAAAAACTAAATGCTGGGTTAGGGGTTCTTATGGGAAAGTCTATAGTTTCCTGGGTGACAGTATTTCTTTCACTGAAAGCCTCTTCTTCTGTTTAGTTTAGCATCTTCTTTGCTGATATAAATTATTCAAAGAAACAACCTGTCACTTTAGCAAGTGTTTTGGTTATAGAGTTTTTTTGTCCATTGCTGATGAAAAAACAAATTCCCTAACTCAAACTATATTCAGTTAAAAAGAGAATTTATTGCCACATGTACCTGAAAAACCCAGTAGTAAATCTAATGATGTGGAAAATGTAATCAAATTTTAAATAAATAAAAATACACAAAAAATCTAATTGTATATGCAGTTTGATCCGGGATTTCAAGTGTATCAGCAGAACCAGATTCTTCTCCATCTCTTAGCTCAGGATTCATTTGTGTTAGTTACACTCTCAGCCAAGTCCTTTCATGTAGTAATTCTTTCTAGCCCCAGACTTATATGCTCACAGCCTCAAATTCAATGAAAAAAGTGCTTCTCTTTTCTGACTGTTTGAACAGAAGCCTCAACCCTTCCACGTTGACTTAAATTGTTATATATTACTATCCCTGACCCAGTAACTTTGGCCAGGAAGATGCAAGGTATAGACTATGGCTGGACAATCAAAAGAAAAATCAGGAAAAARAGAGTAGGTGCTGAATGATTAAATGACCACTCTATGTGTTGAGGACCCTCCCTCTCAAGGAAGTGAGTCATCTCTCCTTAAAAGTTCTTATTTTTAAGTTCTGCAACTTCTCTAACATCTGTAGACTAACTAATTATATTCCTAGGAACAGTAATATGTTGGTTGAGAGTCAGGTTTGTGATTGATTAATCTACTAGAATGCATCTCTAGAATTTGATATGGGGCTAAGAACTGTGAAGCCAGAGTTTAAATTTCAGGTATCTAGCTGTTAGTTTTGTAACCTGGCCAGTTATTATTTTCTTATATGTAAAATTAGCATAATAAAATGGTATATTTGACTGATAGGATTATTGTAAAAATCCTAAGATATAAAAAGACCAAAATTATTTTTTAAAAACTGTCCCAATACAAAGTGACATGATTCCTGTATCTCACAGAATTTTGTAACATTTTTGGTTTTACTTTGATAATTTAAAAATACTTTTATCTAATTTAACTGGAAGGTATGAAAAACAATATAATTATAAAATAATAAACTGCATTATATCTATCTGTGGTTGGAGAAATATGTATTTTTACCTAGAGTAATTTTAGCTTCTGGTTTGTCTTAGAATTTTTATATATTTCTAATATTGACTTTTTTCTTTCCTAGACACCTCTTTAGAAAACTATCAAAAATGCCACAGAAAAAAGTAAGAACTAAAAATTTTAAAGTTGTTCTTTTTTTTATACTTTATTTATTTGCTGTTTATGTGGTGTTAAGGATTGAACCCAGTGCCTCACACATGCTAAGCAAGCGCTCTACCACTGAATCACAACCTCAGCCCCTAAAGTTGTGCTTTTTAAACCCCTGTATTCTAACAGTTATATGGCAAGTATGTTGGTCAGTCTACAAACTCAGAAATTTATTCATTCAGTATTTGTTGAGGCCTCACTAGTAACTGGATTGTTCTAGTTGTTGGACATACAGTAGTACACAAAATTTATTAAAAACTTTTGGTTTTAATTCTAGTTGAAAGAGATGGACAATAAACAAATAAGCAAATGGATTTATACTGTTATATTGTATTGAATGATATGGAGAAAAATAAAGCAAGATGGGGACCAGGGAATTTTGAGGTGGAAATTTGATATTTTAAATAGTATGGTCAGGGAAATTGTCATTGAAAAGGCAGCTTTGGGGCAGATATTAAAGAAAGAGATATTGTAAATTGAGGAAAGCACATTCCAGGAGAAAGAAAAGCCAGAAGAGGGCCGTAAGACAAGAAGGCCTGAGCTTCTGGAGTGGAAAGAGAAAATGAAGTAAGAGAAGCAGCAGGCGGCCAGGTGAGTTATTGTTGTTACATTGTAGGTCAACGGAAGTGAACTGGGAAACCTTTGAAAAATGGCACAACATGACATGTTTTAGAGGAATTGCTCTAGCTGCTGTCAATCAAAATAGATTATGAGGAGGCAAGGAATTAGGGAGATGATAAGAGGCTATTGCACTAATCTAAACAAGGGATATTAGAGTTGGACTAGAATGGGAAGAGCAGAGSTGGTGAGTTATGGTTAGATTTTTTTTTTTTTTAGGCACAATATCTTTATTTATTTTTATGTGGTGCTGAGGATTGAACCCAGGGCCTCACACATGCAAGGCAAGCACTCTACCACTGAGCCACAGCTCAAGCCCTATGGTTAGATTTTGAATGTATTTTGAAAGTGAAACTAACAAGATCTGGTAGTGGACCGAATGGTGAGGTATGGGAAGATATAGTTAAGCTGATTCCACAATTTCAACTTAATAGATCTATAAAATAGCATTTTACAAAACTCTTCTGATATGCTTTTTATCTCATTGAAGTTATTTGGTTTAAACTCAAATAGCATGTCTAAACTTCATTTGTAGAAATTAGTCAAGTGTTTATTTATTCACATTTGCCATTAATAAGCAAATTTGATTTTGCTTAAATGTACTAATTGTAATAATTCCAATCTTGTTCTTTCCTTCCTTGTTTTTCTGTTAGTTTTGCTTTCTGCAAAATTATAAAGTTAACATTCTATTCTAGTCCTTGCTCAATTTCCAAAATTATTTCTCCTTTGCTCTTAAAGCAAGAAGACTGCAGGGCTTGGGTTGTGGCTCAGCAGTAGAGTGCTTGCCTAGCATGTGTGAGGCCCTGAGTTCAATCCTCAGCACCACATAAAAATAAATAAATAAAATAAAGTTAAGAAAAAGAAGACTGCAAAGCACATTTTTTTTGCAATTAAGTTTTTTTGTTATTTTTAGATACAAATAATAGTAGAGTGTATTTTGACATATTATACATACATGGAGTATAACTTATTCTAATTAGGATCCCTTTCTTGTGGCTGAACATGAGGTGAAGTTTCAGTGATTGTGTATTCATATATGAACACAGAAAAGTTATGTCCAGTTTATTTTACTCTTTTTTATTTCCATTTCCCCTCCCTTCCCTTCATTCCCCTTTGTCTAATTCAAAGAACTTCTATTCTCCACCCTGCCTTGTTGTGTGTCAACATCCACATATCAGAGAGAACATTCAGCCTTTGGTTTTTTGGGACTGCCTTATTTCACTTCGCATGATAGTTTCCAGTTCCATCCATTACAGGCAAATGCCATAATTTCATTCTTCTTTATGGTTGAGTAATATTCCATTGTGTATATGTATCACATTTTCTT